TGGCTCTCTCATTTCTATGAATAAGGACTGGAACAGCGATGACAAAAATCTCACCCAATAGATGTGCAAGCCAAACATTGCTTTGGTCTTTTTTATTTTAATTTTTATACAGCACTTAATATGTGCCGTGACAGGGCCACTCAGGAGTACAAAGGGCTCCATCCACTAAAGACCCCGGCTGAAAACAGGGGTCACAAGGTGTGTGTGTGGGATATTGTTTAGCCAGCAGATGGAGCAAAATAAGTTTCCTTTTAGCCAAGGTTTCCTGCATTAAAAAGATGCATAAGTTCACCATGTTTTGTGGTAGTGGTGGTTCTGTTCTATTAGAAGCTTGCCCTGTTTGACTCTGCTATTTGCTACATCTGCTTGCTTCATCAGGGTTCTGCTTCCTTATGAATTAGTAAAATTTGCCTAGTCCTTCAGTTTCTGGATTCTGCCTGCTTCGTTTAGGCACTTTGGTTAACAACAACTGCCAGTATTTTTTTAAAGAGGCCATTATGTGATTATAACTATGTATACTCAGATCTGCTGCTTTTACTGTAATCGGTGATGCGAGCTCAAAAGTAATTGCTACTTGGTTGTGAAAGTCTGTCTTCAAGAAGATTCTTGCTTATTTTGTGTCTTGGGTTTAAGCCACAGTCTTAGGAAATGAATAAAGGCTAACTACTGATGACAGTAGCACATTTAGAAATAAAGGAATGAGTTCATTGGTTTTGTCTATAAAGCTCTGGGACTGTTTTACTTCATTTTATGCCCTGAGTAATGAAAACTAGATTACATATTACTTTTAATTAAAATTCACCAAGCACCCATCTGTAACTTTGGACAATCCCATAATGAGAAAGTTAATTTCTTTACCATTCTGATGTAAACCCAGTCGGGATCACTGGTCTTACTCTCATGTAAGTGTAAATAGGATTGTCATCTGAGTAACTGGTTCTCATTCTAGCACCAATTCATAATGAGTACCTAAGGATGGGTCCTTATAAACAGGGTAGCAAACTCCACAGGGGTGGGGGTGGGGGGCTGAGAGCCTTTAATTTAGACCCATTTATTTTTTATTGACAATTGGTTGGTTTCACTGGGGATGAGGAGTATCTGGTCTTTAGCAATACCAGAGCCTGTCTCACAGCCCAATTCAAGTGAATGAAAACCCTTAATGAGGCGTTGAGGGTCTCACAATAATTTATCCAACATGTTCTCCGCTTGTTTGTATTCGTATAAGAAGATCGGCCCACTCCATGCACTAAGCAACCCCCCAAACAAGTCTCTTTTCTTATTTGTGTAGGGCATCTTCTACCTCTTCTATAAAATGCTACGTTCTGTGAGTGAAGCTGGAAGGCTCAGGACAGTCTGAAAAGCAGGCGTCCTCTTTCGGAAGTCCCAGGACTTTGCATGTCTGAAAGCACGGACAGTATAGCCATGCATACTTGCACATGTTCTGCTGAATGTGTGGAGGTCAGGTCATGATTATGGGATGTGCAGACCTCAGGGGCTGGGCCCACATGTGGGACCCACCTTTCCCTCCATGTGCTCTTGCTGCTGCCAAGGTTGCTTGGAGTTTGATATGCAGCAACCCAAGAGAAGGTGCTCTTGCTGCAGGCACCGTGACTTCCCCCTCTTCACCAAGTCTTACAAGCTTTGGGTGACAACAAAAGGCCTCCCTCAGCCAGGCTTTTGACTGAATTCTCTCTCGGTCTCTCTGTTTACCCTTTCAGTGGCATCCTGTGAACTGTTATTTACCTGCTACAATTCTCCTCTGCTTGATGAGACATTTGGCTCAATATTGTATGATTGCATTGTGTTTTATTGGTTGCATCTTGCTTTGGGATTATTTTATAATGAAAAGCCTGAAATGAATTCCATAAGTAAATAAATAAAAGTGTGTGTGTGTGTGTGTGTGTGTGTGTGTGTGTGTGTGTGAGAGAGAGAGAGAGAGAGAGAGAGAGAGAGAGAGAGAGAGAGATTGGGTGGAGGGAGGGAGGGAGGAGGGAGCCTTGCAGAATATAAGGCAATTTGATTTCAAGAGGGTGTCTTTGACGGTGTCATGAACGACTGGGAATGGCCACCAGCACATGGGAAAGCTAGCACTTGCTACAGCAACCAGAGATTGGTCCAAATGAGCATTTCCAGAACAGAACAAACCAGTGTTGCTCAGGGTTGCTGTGGCTCAGGGTCTGCATCTCCTTGCTCCATCCAACACTTGGGGCAAGGACCACCTCTCGCTGCACATGGGCTTTCCCAGTTAGGAAGCCCTGTGCATTACCCAACCATGCCAGGCTGGTGGCCTCATTGCAGCTCCAATTGCACCCATTGCCACTCTCCCGCCTTTGCCTGCCGTGGCACCTTCCTGGGATGTGGGAAAGAGGGTCCACGCTCTGACGACTCCACCCATGAGCCTGCCAGAGCCACCCTCCCATCCTGGCAGCCCCCATCCGCAAGAAAAGGCCAGATTCCATGGAGAGACAAGGCTTCAGTGTATATGCAGAGGTGCAGCCAAGCAACTGAAAGGCAACCAGACTTGTATCTAAGGTTCCGCCTTGAGCTTCTCCTTGTTGGAACAACATATAAACATCCCTTTCTTTCTTCCAGAGAGGACTCCCTTTCAGTTTCTGTAGCGCTGTTTTCTTTCTGTTGTCTTTCCCTGTGAAATCTGATCTAGCCTGGCCCCCTGCTTGAGTACTGACCCATAGCAGAACCCTGTGGCAGAGTGAAGAGCATTGAAGAGTATCTGAAACAGTACAGTTCCTCAAGGCCATGCTACATGGTTTGAAGCGCCCTTACTTTTAATCTCCCCCTTAACAAGAACCATGGGGAAGATCAAAGTGTGGGAATATTCTTTCCTAGAATACCTCATAGGCAAGATTAGAGACCAGAGATTACTCACTGCTGGTGGATGTGATCAAATTAAAGCCATCTGGAAGTAGCTAGAAGGCAGCCTTCTCCAACCTGGTGTTATCCAGATGTTTTAGACAAACGCTTTCATCAGCTAGTGGTCAGGAATTATGAGCATTACAGTCAAAAACATCTGGAAGGTACCAGGTTGGAGAATACCCCCTGCACCATGCATTGGTGGAAGATCAGCTAATGGCACTTTGCTGATGTTGTCTTTAGACTGGGGGTGGGGAACATGTGGCTGCTGGGAACCGTGGTTCAACAGCATCTAGAGGGCCACAAACCACTCACCCGTGCTTTAGATAAAGCCTACTCTGTTTGTGTTAAGTGCCTTTGTTATTGTTCATTCTCTTCTGACCTCATTCCACAGTTGACTTTTGGAAACTTTAATTTCTGTGCTCAGATTTGCTCAATGAGGCTTGACCTCTGTGGCAGGATACAGGGCAGGCAATGCCAAACACACTAGTTTAAGCCTACACACCTGTAACACACACAGATATAATTCTGCAATTTGTAACAGATATTTGAAAGGAGAATAGCCTACAAAGATGAAGCCACTGTTAAGGAACTTGTTCTTGAGAATGTGGGAACAAGGCAAATACAAAAGAAAAGGCACATTCATGGCACACCAGGCTAAGGGGAGTTGGCTGGGAATGCAAAAAGGACTGCTACACAACCCTGTCTCCATATAAGCCTTGCGTGATGGACAACCATCAGTGGAACTTATAGTGGTGCACCTCTTTCTTGGAGGTATTTGGTGGAGGTGCAGATCTCATTTTTTATAATCCTGAAGTCCCAAGTTAACTATCCTTTCCCTAATCATGCAAGAATAACCAACCAACCAACCGACACCAATCAATAAAGGTCTAAGGAGGAAAGTATGTATAGAACATTTAATGCTTTCCAATCTATCTCTTCACAAGTATGATCTCTTTATGCCTTTTTCTCTCCAGAAAAAGGAAATTCTGTTTGTATGGAGAATTATCCAATGATACTATGAGTCATGGTAAAAATGAAGTCAAGACCCGAATCCACATCAAGAAGAGATTTTAGGCAACACTCGTCAGATATACCATCAACAAAATTCAGGCCTAGAAAATCTGTCTACATTGGCTTAATTGATCATGATTTACTTCTTTCAAATTATTATCTGGAATGCATATGGACTCCTGAAAACAAGGAATGTTTTTTAAATGTGGGAAAGGAAGACTCTTGGACTTCCTATTCATGATTCAGCAGCCAAAAGTCTCTGCTAGATGTAGAATTTCCTTTTCATATGCTTAGATCAGGCTTCTCAACTAGGTTCC